TAGTGCCATTTTTAAATGGAAGTCTGCAGCATCAGGCATTCAAAGGAAGTGGTATAGATTAATGGCGATTACAGAGAAATTGCTTCAACACAAGAAAAGGTCACTTCAACATCTGATGCTGCTAAATCCCGCACTCAAGGAGAGGAGGCAAGCAAGCCTAATGAAGAAAGCATGGGTGGAAATAGGAGGATAAATCAGTAGCTGTGAAGTGTTTACAAGAATATGAATCCAATACCAGAGAAATTTAATGTGCTTTTGCTGTCTTGAAAGATAATGGCACTTAAGACTGCATACTGGAAACACAGCATGAATTAAACAGCCCATGAAATAAGAGGCCAGGTCATAGTCTAATGCTTAGGTAACACCAGAAATCAACACTGTCACTGAGATGGCTAGTTCACCTGAACCTGATGGTCAGAGATCAGTGAATGCTATGTTTGGATGGTTGGAAGTGTACCTCACAATACCACGCAAATGATTTATGTTCACAGTCCTTCAGTGACCAGCATTGATAAGCCATGAGAGAGCATATGTCAGTGTTTACTGAAAATGGTTGCTCACAATACAAGAAGGCATTAATGAATGAGAGGTGGAGAGTCATTCATCAGCATAGTGACATCAATGGAGGCAGAGGGCATGGTCATTGGATAAACAGCAGCAGGGTAGACAGACACTGATGATGGGATAGCTTTGGAAGCAATGAAGAGACCTGTAAAGTGCTTATTGCATCCATCATTCCTTCGACCATTTGCCAGCTATATGGAATAGGTTATCAATGCCAGAAGAAGTTTCAGATTAAGGACCATTAAGGGCCATGAGTCATCCTCATGGTTGATGGAGCCACTGTTTCACTTAAATCATGTCCCCCCCCAGCAGATTCAGAGGTAGATGAGGAAGAAATTAGGCATCTTGGTTCACTTGTCAGCTCAGCGAAACTTCTGTCATATCAGGACACTTTAATTTTATTCTATTGTATTCTCCGCCAGTGCAAATAAACTCACATCGTTTGGTTTTGTTGCAGAAGAGGCATAATCTGAAGATCTCACAGATGTACAGAAGGAGGTAACAAAGGCACTAACTGCTGTCGCCTCTGAGAAATGAGGAAAGGCCTACCCATACTCAGCTTCATCTAGATGGTGCATCTCAGGTGCCATCAACAAAGCAGAAGCTTAAGGAGCCACTTGAAACGTCTGAACATCTGTCAAGTTTCCAAAGGCACTACATTCCCATCTACAAACATTGTAGATGTCCATCTATGCCATGATTGGTGCCATTTTTCCACCATGAGAGCACATTGAGAGAGGACAAAACTTATGGTGGGATGAATGGACCATAGATGTAATGCTGCACACAGACCTCCACAGCATGGCATGTTCCTTGATGATAAGCATCTGGGATTATCCAGTTATTCAACTTCCCTTTGCTAGGTACTGACTTGGGTGCTGGGGAACAGGGGGAAAGGCTGCGAAAAGGCAGGCTAAAAGTAATAATGGTCCCTTTCAAGGCACTTTGATCTTGGAAGATGGATCCTTAACCTTTCTCATGACAACAACAAGCATCAATGCTGGTCCAATGATTGAGTCAATCCTGCACAAATGTAGGTGGCATCAAATTTGCCAGGGTCAGGTATCACAGGATGCTAAGCACAGCCAGCTCATGAATAAGAACAAAAATAGGTTGGTAGCTACCATCACACCAACTGTAGGTGTAGGGAAATTATGCCATAAAAATTACAGTAAGTGAACACTTAAATGCATGGGTTGGTACTTGGTATTTCACTTGATGATAATTACTTGTTCAATGCAAAGGCCTTTAATATATGCTGAAAGTTAAAAGTCTTGCGATACAACTTATAATGACTGGTGAATATTGACAATGGCTAGATGTGGAATCACATATACGGATACTGTGTAAAAGTGAATCCCTTACAGCACATGTTGACAAAACCTTGACATGAGCTATGAAGCTTAAAAAAGGACTTGACAAGGCAGATACTGACAGCATTGTTTCTCTTCAAGGGAATCTAGCACAAATTTCATAAGGGGCAGATTGTTTAAGACTGAATGAGGAAATCTTTTTTCAAAGGCCTGTGAATCTTTGGAATTCCCTACCCTAGATAGCTGTGGGCAACAGATGAGAAACTGAAGCCCGAGATCAGCCACAATCATCTTGAATGCCAGCATAGAGTTAACAGGTGATGTGGTCTTCTGCTCCTCCTACTTCTTAGAGTTGGTAAGGGTCTCTTTTAAAAGGTCATCAAGGCTGCCTCTGCAAGAGAACCTCTTGTTTTGGTGGGACCTTACACTGACCTTGTGATGTATTTGCTGATCAGAGAACCTTACGTCTCCCTCCTACACATGATACTGGTGCATGGGCTCCGCATTCCAGCTCTATTAATCATGGGACAGCACCCTACAGTCACGCTCCTCTGTCCTCCACTCAGTGCCTTCCTCTGGTTCCAGCATTAGTTGTTACTGCAGCATGAAGTTTTGTAATAGGTGACAGCTGGTGAACTTGTGGGGTGTCCTTGAAGGGGCATTTTGCAAGCTTCTCTCCGAGCTATTGAGGCTTTTAAAACTTACCTGTAGGAGTTAAATAGTCTGCTTGATGACATTTGTACTTGTATGGCAGCAACTTTACTTATCCTGTGCTGCGGGATTGTGAGTGAAGAAATCCATGTTCTTGAGGACATAGTCACAAAGGCATTCATATGGAAGGATTTGGATTGGTTTAAGTAGGTATGAGTTGTTTTTAGTTTCTCAGAAAATCCCAACATAACTGCATGATATGCTTTTTTTGTAGTTGCAGATGACTTGAACATTCAAGGAGTGTTCACAAACACACCTAGTTGCTCGGAGGGAGACTTGACAGCCACATGAATATAGTCAATTATCTCCAGCAACTAAGGATTGCAGTCAAGGCCTTGAAGCCAACTTCCTTCCTAAGCTCTGGCTTGATTGATTGTCAACCTGATGTTTTTGTCAGCCTGACAGTACACGCTCTCTGTGGCTTTCTTTTAGTGATTGGACAATGGCTGAGAGAGACCAAACAATTTCCACATAATCCCTGGAAGAAATCGGATAAAAAAGTTGAATACCAGCTAAAGTCATGTTGCTTCCCAATAGCATCAACTCCTGCCGAAGCATGTCACACAGCTCCACCACCTGCCTGGAGAGATGCATTTTATGTAAACATTGATGCTGGGACGCTTCAACGAAGCTGTGTGTCTGACAATAAAATCTTTAGTGTTGGAGCACCTTCTGAGATCATGAGGCTGCTCTTCTTTGATCTCCCGGGCCCTGCAAAATGCGAGGTTCTCCAACTTGATAGCAGGAAGGGGGGCTCAGAGTATTTCTTGAAAGGTGAGAGACTGGAAAGCGTTGCTGTACAAAGGTACCCAGGCATTCTTGTTCATAAGTCACTGAAAGCTAGCAAACAGGTGTAGCAAGCAATCCAGAAGGCAAGTGGTTTGCTAGCCTTAATTGCAGGTGGACTTAAATACAGAAGCAAAGTCTTGCTTCAATTGTACAGAACACTGGAGTAGTGTGTGTATTTTTCTGGTGCACTTTTCTAAAGAAGGATATATTTGTCATAAAGAGTGCAACGGAGTTTAACCAGACTGATTCCTGGGATGGTGGGACTGACCTATGAGTCAAGATTGAGGAAGGTGGGCATGTTTCGTAGAATGAGAGGAAATTTCATAGAAATTGACAAACTTCTTAAAACAGAATAGCAAAGTAGATGCAGAAAGGATGTTTCCTCCGGTTGTGAGGCTTAGTGCCAGGGGCACAGTCTCAGAATAAAATGTAAGCCACTTAGTACTGATATGAGGAGGAAAGTCTTCAATGACAGAATGCTGAACATTTGGAATTCCTTTTCCTAGAGTCTGTGGAAGTTCAGTCATTAATTAAGTTCATGAATGAAACTGATAGCTTTTTGGTTAATGACAATAAGGGATAACTTGTATAGAGTGGGAATACAGAATTGAGTTGGAGAATTAGCCATAATCTAGAATTACAAAGCAAGCTTGAGGGCTGAATGGCCTATTCCTGCTCCCATGTTCCAATGTTTTTATACAATATGACTTGATCTCTATCACTCTGCAAATAATGCAACTTCAAGACTCCACCTCCCACCCTTAATTAGACAGGGAGCCTGTCTATGACAATTAAAGCAGCAGTCCAGACAAAATTCCAAACAGTGTCTGCTTGGCATTAAGTCAAAGTCTTGGCTCCTGTTTTTTTTACTGCAAATGTGAAAATTCAGCCATGGAAGGCCACCACTTCTGACTCCTTCTCCAAATCAAACACCACCCTAACTTGGAAATACACCTCCTTTGCTCCAGTGTTTCTGGATTAAGATCACAGAATTCTCTACATAACTGCACTGTGGGAATATCTACAATGCAAGGATGCGGCAGTTCAAGAATCACCACCACCTTCTCAGGGTCAATTAGAGTTGGTAAGAGGCAGCCTTGTAAGTGACACTGACATTTCATTAATGCATTAGAAAAAAAATGTTCCCTGCAGTAGCCTAACGTTTTACCCACAGAGTATTTGAGTGTGGCTTCCATATTCAATGAATACAATTGTAGAATGATTGCTAAAAATGAAACTGGTTTTACTACAGTTAAATGTGAAGAAAAATGATTGAAATACTAAATGCTTTACAAAATGAGGACTGCAATAGCTAAGTACTGACAAACATTGTCTCAATAAACTAGCATGTAAATGGCCATAATACATTTCACCGTTTAGGTTCAAGGGAAACATCACAAACAAATATACCTGCCTATTATCAATACCCATTTGATTCTACAGTTGGTGGTATAATAAGTTGCTGCGATCACATGTTGGTAGCAGTGAAGCTTGGTTAGAATCTATTGATTATGACTCATAATTTGGTGACATTTCATGAAATCGTCCTGTAAGCCAGATGATATGTGGTAAAATAAAGGCAAAATTAGTCTAACTGAAGAGAATTGTGTTTAAACTTGTTACCTCCTGGTTAGCAGCTGCCAATTCCTCTTCCAGTGTGGAAACCCTCTCCAGAGCAATTCGTAGACGTTCCCTCACCTTCAGACAAAAGACAACAGATTTGTATAAATTGTAGGCATTTTCTTGTGCAAATGCATCGTAGTGCTACTTATTGAACTAACGTAGTTCAACATTATGGTTCCGTACGTGATTAATTAGGTCCAATGTTAATGCTGAGTAAGTCATCCAAATTTCTCAGTTTAGTCCACTTTTGCCTCTGTCTTGGGTATCTTCTAATTCTGTACTGATGTGTTCTGTACACTTCAGGTTCGGCTGTTTCTTTGATAAACTAAGCATAATACTGCAATATTCCAACCTGGTACCGCAGCAATATTTAGTTTAAACTGTTGGGACTTAAACCAGCACTCAAATTTGTCAAGCATGTTTCTAACCAAACGGCATTCAAAGGAAAATATAATTTCTCTGATGCAAGTTTTTCCTTTTATAAGTACTGACGGTAAAAAATTGAATTCAACTACCTAATTATGATTATCTCATAGCATGCAAATAGTATGGTAAGAATCAAGTTGTGAGGTTGACAATCAAATACTATTTGTTGGATTTTCACTTCAGAGGCAGGAAAAAGGAACTGGGTCAAAAACATGCCTCTGGTAGTAAACTGAATAAACTTGAGATTTCATGTGGTGTGAGCCCTTACCTAATATGAAGATGTATTTCCTGTTCAAAAAAAAAGACCGTGGGACAGGAATGGAGGTGGGTTAGAAGAAGCATGCCACTGATTTAGACTCTCATGGCAGCCATAACTGAGGCTGCTGGTTGCCCTGAGAAAGAAATTTTCAAATTATGCAGAAACTTTCCACAGCATGAGAAGGAGACAAGATGTCAGTGGAGAGGTGATGTCCTGAATTCCGAAGCAGAGCTGCCTCTCTCTTCTTTGCCAAACTGAATCTAATGTCAGAAATTGTGAAGAACTGTCCAGAAAGGTCCAGTGCAAAGCACTGAGAAAGTCACAAGGCATGTTCTCTCTGTCGTTGCCCACTGTTTTCCTATATTTGTACTGCATACATGAGGACACTTTAAGTCATCATCTGGAACTACTTTTAACATCTCCATGACAAATAAAATGGCATGAGATGGTCAAAGAGATAATAGGATACTTTTCAGGGAGGACAAGTCAAATGAGCTTCCTTCCATGGTGCTAAGTGATTATATATTCTAGGCTGCATTTCCATGTATGTGTTAATATAGGTATCTCAGAAGCTGTTTCATTCTGTGCTCCTCAACCTGGGTCAGCAGGACTCAGTTGAAGTATTGCTGAATCAGGAGATCCTTGATATAAATGGTATCTCCATGAACTCTTCACAACCTGAGTCTAGCCTAGCACAGCAGAGGCACCTCTATGTTCAATATCATCCTCCTCCGCTTTTACTTTGCCCTCCTCTCTCAAATCTTCCTCTTCCACTAATGAGCTGTTTTTTCAGTTTTAAATTTCTTCTTCCAACGCATGACTTTCCTTGAGGTCTAGAGCTCCATGAAGAGCCATCTTAGAAAAGATGCAGCAGACCCCCACAATGACAGAGCAGGACCTTTTTTGGAGAGTGCCATCTGACCAGTCCAGTTGCCACATCTTTAGAAGCTTGTACAATGTCCTACTGAGAAGGTGGTATTGGCTGAATTGCCTCTATGTCTCTGTCTCTGTTTGAAGATTTCCAGAGAAATGAGTAGTCACGTCTTCAAAGGATATTCCTTGTCCCCTAGGACCTGACCACACATTCTCATGATAATAATTGAGGCAGTATTGGATGGTAGAGGATGAAATAATTACAGTAGCTGTCAGGAAAGTGAGTGCATAAAAACAAGAAGCTGCTATAGTGACCTTAGAATGCTGAGGGAGTACAGGCCCTTCCTGTTGATGAATCTGAGTAGGTAGTTACAAGGCACTTTGAATCCCACCTAGCTGCAATCAATGTTGCATTGCATCTGGGCAATAGAACCCAATGTCCTACGCCCCTGTGAGTATCAGATTTTTTTGGGCTACCGGTATGTTGAATTTCTCTCTTTTCATTTCTTACCTTTGTTTCCTTTAATTCTCCTTTTTTTTCTTTTAACTTTTAAGCAAAACAGCAGAAGTTATTGGTCCATTGTCTTACATAACTGCAATGAATAATAATACGATACACAGATTCAGGACTTAGGGCATCAACAAACCAAAAAAATGTATTTCGTAAAATAGGTCAGGTATGCACTTATTACATTTCAGAAGGTATACAAATGCTACTTTACTTCGCAGTGAGGTTCTATTAAGTACAGTGTAAAAACATAGCCAATTACTCTGGTCTGTTTTCAAACTATTTTAAGATGATATTTTTACCTGTATCTTAATTTTTGTAAACTATTTCACGTGTTGCAGGAAAAATTGCATAGGGTTTTCCCAATCTCATTTCATAACTTTAACAGAAACCCCAGCGAAACACTGTTCTTCCATTGAGAACCTCCATAGAAATGTGAGGCAATTGTTTCCAAATCTATTTATGAATTCATTCAAATGAATGCACCGAGAAGAACATTGTGTAAAGAATAGAATAGCTGAAGTAGAAATAACCCTACACTTTACCCAATTAAGAAGTTACTTGCTATATAAATTAAGCATGATATACTCAAAAGATCTGGAATCCTAGATGTAAAACTAAGAGAAAACGCACGTTAAATTTTAGCTTATAAGTCGGCTACAACTGAATTATAATTGTCACTGTGGCTATGTCTTGATATAGTAATTTAAGAGGCCATAGTCCATAGAGGACAAGCGGCATCTCTGTCCATTAGGGAGGGCCAACTGGTTATGTACTGCCTGAGGGTAATAACTACATAATTATGAGGCAAGGTGAGAAGGCTGGACTTTTGTGAACTAACACTGTCTACCAGTATGTGGATTGAAACTACCCTATTCACTTTATTCTTCACCAGATTCTAGCCATCCAGCCAACAGAGCTAATTGACTCTGTCTTAACAGTAGACAAAAAAAATCAATCATTAGTCTCCATTTGCTCATCATATGTGTATAGCTCACTGTACTGTATAAGAATATGTGTGCATGAACAAATGTTGGAGAATTTTAAACTCGCATGTCTCCTGGCTCCAATGCTTTATATTAAGGGGCAAACAGAATTCTCCCCCTTAAATTCAGTATGAAAACACAGAGATAACAAGCATTTGTAACAGATGCAAAAGCTACCTAGCATAAAGGTAGATGGCCATGGTCATTAGATGTTAATCAGCTCAGTAACAGGACATCACTGCAGAAGTTTTTCAAGATGGTTTTATGCCCAGCTACTTCATCAATGACCTTTCCTCCATCGTAAAGTCAATTCGCTGATGAATGGACAATTTTAAACACCAACCTTGAGTTCACAGGAAGAATGTGATTGCACTGGAGAGGGTGTAAAGAGGGTGGTTGATTTGAAAGCTAAATGAGGGACCTTTTAGTAGTCTAAAGTTACCTGTAAACGTAACGTTTAGTCAATATTACTTTTTTGTTTGTTTAAGTAAAAATCTTGAAGCCTGAAATCATGTTGTGTGATATTTCCAGTCAGTCATTAGAAATTTTATTTTTTAAATTGTTGGCCTTGACAGAAATCAAAACAGTTAATTTTATAATTAGAGTCAACATAGATTCCTAGAATCCCTACGGTGCAGATAGAAGTCATTCAGCCCATCAAGTCTGCACTGACCTGCTGAACAGCATCACACCCTATCCCCATAATCCCACATTTACCATGGTCAACACCCCTAGCCGGCACACAATGGGGGAGTTTAGCACAGTCAATCCAATAATACTTAAATCAGTCCAAATTCTCTGCAGTACAAGACCAAAATATCATTAAGTCCTTGAAAAATAATAATATTAAGTGGAAAGGTGATGATGTGGATACAGAATTGGATTAGTAACAGGAAGCAGAGGGTGGTAATCGATTGACTTTTTTTGTCAACAGCAAAACAGTTTGCAATAGTGTTCACCAAGTGTCAGTTCTGGATCCGTTACTCTTTTCAATTGTTATGAATGCCATTTCATAAATTAATATGTGAAGAACCATTTTAAACTTGCAGATGGTATAAAAGTTAATAAGGTGATGGTGACATTTGTAGATTCCAGAATACGAGCCAGAATGATCAAATGAGTAGAGGCATAATAACAGGAATACAACACAAAGAAATTGAAGTAATTTACTTGGAAAAACCAATATGGACATAGAGCATACAATAAATAATGATTTTGAAAAAAGTGTAGACGAGCAGAAAGATTCCGATGGTTATAAACAAATTCTTAAAGTGACAGTTCCAGTTGTTAAAACTGGTTAAAAGTACATATGGGTTACCATACTGTTAAGGAGGAGATCATAGAGTGTAGCTCAAGAAGCTAGATACCATACAGGACAAAGCAGACTGTTTGATTAGCACTCCATCAACAACTTAAATATCCACTTCCTCCACATGATACTTCACAGCAACTCAACATGACTCCTTTTGACAGCTCCTTCCAAAGCTCCAAACTTCATCGCTTAGAAAGACAAGAGCAACAGATGCATGGGAACACCACACTATCACCTGCAAATTCACCTTCAAACCAGACACCATTCTGACTTGGAGATAGTAGGAACTACAGATGCTGGAGAATCCGAGACAACAAGGTGCAGGGCTGGATGAACACAGCAGGCCAAGCAGCATCATAGGAGCAGAGAGGCTGACGTTTCGGGCCTAGACCCTTCATCAGAAAAGGGGGAGGGGAAGGGGGTT